GGGACTTAAATGCTGCTTTTGTCTTGATCTATATTTGTGAGTCTTTTGTATATGTGAAGGGTATATAGTAAGGAATACTGCTGCTTAGAATGTGGTTGTGTCTATTAAATAGAGAAGCAGGTTAATGGGTCATAACAAAACAAACAAAACAAACAAACAAACGAAAGAAGCCTTAAGTGAGCCCCAGAGTGACTCATAGCACCTGATTTGGGAGAAACAGGACTTTCGTTTGACAAGCAAGTTGACCACAACAGCTTTGCTCAGGTATCAACTCATTCCTTAGACTGTTCTGCTGTGTCCAGTCCTTAGAAGGCCCTGCTTTGCTGCCGTGTGCCTGGGGAGACCGGACCTCTGACAAGCCAACAGAACAGTGAGCGTCAGTTTCCCCACTAAATTCAACACGACGGTCTTCAGGCATTCATGGGGGTAGGCAAGATAGGAACTGTGAAGTATGGATAATATGTTCCTCTGGACGTCTAAGGGGAGGCTCTACTGTGATCTGCCTTTCTGGAAAGATGTGCACACAGGGCCCAAGAATGGACTGAGCTGGAGATCTTTGGGGTAACCAGATGAATCAGGCGTGCAGGTTATTCAGAGCAGAGAACCAGCAGATAGTTAAAATACTAGGATCTTCAGCTTCAGAGAGTACTTGGTATACTTGACTGTATGATTTGCTGTAATATAGTCATGCCCGTGACACAGCCCTACCCCCAGACTGAGCCCGTGCACAGTCAGGACTGTTCCAAGGTAGATAGTGAAGTGGAGGAGGGGGCCTCTGACTGGGCCTCTCTACTGTTCTTTCTGTTTTTTTTTTTTGTGTGTGTGTGTGTGTGTGTGTGTGTGTGTGTGTGTGTGTGTTAACCCTACATCTTAGAGTCATTAAAATACAGAGAAACATGCCCCTTTGAGATAGAAGTCTGAAATTGGCCGGGAAATAAAATCACAGTATCTTATCTAGAATGCAACTACTTGTAAAGCCCAGATCTCCCAACGAAGAGAGAAGTCAGGAACGGTGCTGCACTGCTTAGCTGTATCCCAGGCAACTGCAGTGGGACAGCTGGGCTTTCTGGGGGTCACGCCCCTGAGTCTGCCAGTCTGCACACATTCTTCTGGTTCTCCACTGCATCTCGGGTGCCTGTTCTGAGAGGTGGCACCTGGCTTTTCCCACATAACCCCCTGACCCTGGTTTAGGCAGAGGACCCTGATTAAAAGCGGGATATCAAGAATAGATTCCCATCAGATGGACTCTGCCTCCCCGCTTCCTTGAAGGAGACCTTGAGGAGAGTGCTTTAGTGGACCATGCCTCAGTTTCCCTACCTGTATGATGGTTATGGTGACGAGCCCAGTGAGGCCACAGAGGGTAGCGTGAGGTTTTGCATTGCAGACAAGAAGCACAGGGCTTGACCATGGTGAAGACCCCAGGTACCATTATCCAGAGACTGGAGAAATCAGTTAGAGTAGGAATGAGGGGACACATGCACTTTGAGGTCAGGGGTGGGGAGGGAGGAGGGGGGTGGGGAAGTGTGGGTGGGGATGGAGGTGGGGGCCAGTGGATAGAGTTTAGCATAATCCTTCTGTTCTGAGGTAGGCTGGACGGCCTTATCAAGTATTGATGATGACATCCTCTCCTCCCTCCTGTCCCCAAGGGGACAGATCACTCTTGGGTAAGCCCGTGCCTATTCGTGTGTACTGACAGTGAAGAAAAGGACTTCCTTCCCAGACAAAGGCCCAAAGACATATTCCCCCCCACTCCTTCCCTGAATCCCAGGCCCTAGGGACTGGGCAAAGCTTCTGTGTGTTGCCTTGGGAGCACTTCTCCTTCTCTGGCCCATGCAGGACTGGGAGTTAGTGAAGGGTCACTGGAGATGCCCCTGAGAATAAGTGCTGCAGAAGTTCAAAAGAGAATAGGACTGCCTTTCTGTCCAAAAGCCGGGGAATAATCGTGTGAGCCATTTTGTGTGTGTGTGGTAGAAGGGTGTCCTGCCCTGCTGAGTCCTGTCCACTTGGTATCTATTTACCAGGTCTTTTCTGATGCCCAGCTTGTATTAAAAGCAATCACGTGATGGGTGCAATGGGTCCATGTCTATATCCCAGAGACTCAGATAGGAAGGTGACAAATTGGAGGCCAGCCTGAGCTAAATATAGAGCCTGCCTCAAAACAAAAACCCACCCAAGCAAAACAACTGTTAATAGCATATCACCTCCAATGAGTCTCAGGTTCTCATACAGGAAATGTTTGCTATGTTTCAGGGGAATGTGGTGAGAGTCCACTTTTACCGATGGATACACAGATGTTCCCACATCTGCACAGGGTGGGCAGGACCTCTTGGCCTGTGCACAGATTTTTTGGTGTGTCTACTTTGTGGGCAGGGTCTCCCAACACATCTTGGCCACAGGGGCACTTAGAGGTCACACTCACACGCTGCACATATAGCCCTCATGCTTTCGAAGGCCAGGGAAGGGCTTTGTAAGATTGTGTTAGAGTGACGACCAAGAAACACGTGACTGTGCCAAAGGACAGGATTTTCTCATTTGGAAATACTCTCGGTAGGCACTGTCTGTCTACAGTGGCCTGTTTGCCCTGGCTTGGCTGAAGTGTCTGTCCTGAAAACCACTTGGAGTACGGGGCTTGAGCTCTGTGTCAGCAGCAAAACTCACGAGGCTTCATGAAGGGAGTTGGGTAGAGGAAGCCGTGTGATGAGCAGACCTCTCTGCAGGGCATGCCTCAACCACAGCCACAGGAAATTGCTGCATCAGGAGAGCACCTGGAGTCTGAGGGCCCCCGAGCCGGTCTCCAGGATCCACAGAAGAGGCTTCTGGGGCGGAGGCTGCCAACTCCCAGGATCTGCACAGTCCCTGGAGGTGACACTCCAGGAGGCTTTGCTCACACCCCTGCCCAGCAGCTGGGCAATCCAGGCTGTCTATATACAAAGGCACCCCATATGTCCCCCCACTCCCCTGGAGTTCTGCAAAATGCTGGTCTCTATTTCAGGTCTCATTTCCCCTTTAGTGGCAATGTTCCTAAAATGGAACATTTCGACAGAGGATTTCAGTGAAAGAGGCTTAAGGGAATAAAGAATTTGAAAATCTTATGTACTGGACAGAGGCCCGAAGGCCAGTGATGTCAGAAGAAGCCTGAAGTCTGCCAGAGAGCCCCAGAGCCTCTCTCTAGTGTCTCATTTGCTCCAGCACTCTGGAGAGCCCAAGGGCTATTCTTTGAAAGCATGGCCCTAAAGGCAACTGCAGCCTGTTTTTAGCCTGGATCTTGCACCAAAGCCAAGCAGAAGGTCCATCTTCAGTATTAGCAGCAGTCTCTTTGCAGAGATCAAGGCTGCGGTTAAGATGTGCAATATACCTTGGTGTGCACGTGTGCTGGGGGTGTGGGGTGAAAGACTGCCCTTAGGCTGAGATACATTAGGCTCAGCAATCCATTAGAAGGACAGATATGTGCATCTTCAGCAGCTTCCTGGAAGGATGGAGATAGCTCTGTGTGGGGTATGGCTATGTTTTAGTTGTGAGATTCCTGGTGGCCTGAAGGGTACACTGTCTGTATTTAATACTCAAGGTGCAGAGGGAGCACAGTGGAGCTGGAGCAGCAGTGGCAGATGATAACACACATTCTCATCACGGAGATGTATTTGGGGTTACCTGGGGGTCTTTGTGATCCTTGCCTATATGTAAGATGTGTTGTGGTTCTGAAGTAGGCTAGAACTGCCATTTCCACCAGGCCTATCTACACAGGTCTGGGCAGATTAATTCTTTTGCCTAAGGACTCAGGGAAGGCTTTGCCCAGTGCTGTTGGGAAAATCTAAGAACCAACGTGCAAGCTTCTTGTGTGACCTTGACAAGGTCATGGCTCCAATCTGAGTTCATTTGCTCTGTCACATAGCAGGAGGGCAGGAATTTGACCCTGCCTGCTCTGACTCATAGCTCTGGGGCCAGAAGAGCCCAGCCTAGTACCCCAAGAATGATCTGATCCCCACTGACAGTGCAACATATCGCAAGGGCATCTACCAAGAACCTCTGTCCACATGTTTCGCTAAGCACTGCATCTGCCAGAACTCAGCAGATCCATCCATCACCATAGTCAGGAAGCAGGCTTCAAAGTTCTATAGGGCTGGTCCAAGGTTGTACATGCATGAGAGGCCTGAGGCTTAACTCGTGTGGCTTTGGTTTGAACTGGAGGAGCCTTTCAATTGGGAGAGAATCTTGAGAAAGGTTTCCTCCAAATGCAAAGAAGGATTTAATGTATATCTCCTCTTTTTCCCCCAAGGGACTTGGTACACCGAGCTAAGGGCTCAGAACACTGCTACTCAGTTCCTCAGCACAAATTCTCCCCCTTCTGGATCAATGTTAGGGGCAGAAGTCAATTCTTTGCTCACCATCTGTCATCCCAGTTATCTGGGCGGCTCAGATGATTTCCGGTCCCCTGAGTTCCACACCAATGCTCCTGTAGATGGCTCATAGCAAAGGGGCTGGTTTTCAACAGTGCCTATGCCAGTAGGGTGTGGGAGGGCCCATGGAAGCCTGCCATCTTCATGCCCTGTGCATCTCCCAAGGACAGAGCTGCCTTGTCAATGCGATCCTCTCTGATTGGACAGGGACCCGGAAAGGTGAACTCAGGTGACCATTTTCATAACTACACAATGGTGCAATTCTCATAGTTTCCTATCCCTTTATACCTTCACCTCCAGTCCCTACCTCAATCTGCTATCCTTATAACCCTCTGTGGGCAGGGAGCAGACCCCTTAGCTCATTGCAGGATGTTGAAGATTCCCGAGGTCTCACAAGAGTAGGCTGCCATTGAGTCTCAGAACCAGAACCAAGGCTCACTTCTTCACCTGCCAGGGCTTACTCTGCAGCTGCTTACCCTCAGTACAGGGGGTAAAAGAGAAACTGAAGGACAGATGTGGTCAGATGTGCCCACCATCTCCTGGCTTGATACCATTTCGCCAGCAACCTCTCTGACCAAGGCGGTGGTAGACAAGGTAGGATCTTACCTGCAGCTGTGGTGATGCCCAAGAGCCGGCAGGTATATTCCAGCCCAGTCCAGAACACCTGGAGTTTCATGGTGCCTGAGGTGTGAGCAGACTCACAGAAGGGCAGACTGCAATGATTTCTCTGGGTCTGAGATGCTCCGATGCCCCCTCACAAGCAGGAGGATGTAGGGGATGGCCGGGGCCCCCTGGGCCTCTGGGTTCTGCCTTCCTGATCTAGTTCTTGCTGCCACAGCCTGGCTGAGGTGTGAACAGGGCTCACCTTCCTAGCTTAGCAGTCTGTGTCCTTGCCAAGCACTGCTCAGCTTAATCATTATCTTGGAAGAATGCTCTCCTTGCTCCACACAGCCCTGGCCTGGGCCTGGAGCTGCTTCAGCCCCAGTGCAGAAGCCTGAGATCACGCTGCCGATTAGGGTTGGGCTGGAGGCAGCCCGGAGCAGGCAATTAACTGTTTCTGGCTGGGAGGAGGGATCAGGAGAGCTAGAGCCCTAGCCCTTCCTTATCAAGTCATGCCAAGAAAGTCACACCCATGCCTCCACACCTGCTGGGGTCCTCCAGGAGACTGGGTACCTGCAGACCTGGGGTGTGAGAGAGAGATAGAATGGATATGTTTTTAATTCACCAATGGGAAGTTTTGGAATGAGTCCTAGGTTTTTTCCATCTGTGCGTAGGCTGGTAGATATGAACTCTGACAAGACCCTCTTAGCTCAGACCACAGCATGTAGAGACCCTCTTCAATTTCTTACAGGCATCTGGGATGCGAGATGTGGGAAATCACTGTGTATGCTGTGTGAATAATTAACTGGGTGTGGCCTTGGTAAATGAGGCAGAAAGTAAATAAGAAATATAACTGTACTGGTGTTCTCAAAACAGAAAGGACCCGAGAGCCCCGCTGATGCCTTCAGACTCTAAGAATGGTCCTTAGTGGCCTTCACTGGTTCTTAGTTTATAATTGATCTAGTGGGTTGAACGGTATCATATTTTGGTCTTCTTGTCAGCTGTTTTCTGAAACCTATTCCTTGTCTGCTCATGTTGGATGAAAGTCAAAAACAAACGAGCAAATTGACTGACCCTAATAATAGCAGAAACCTTGGTGTATAATCCTACATCTTTCTCTGCTGTTTAACGAATAGACATATTTTATTATTAAGATTATTATAGTTGGATCATTAACTTGTATTCCATTCCACAACCCACCCTGTCTTGTAAGAACCTCTGTGCTCGTATGATGTTTAAAATGAGGTGTAGAAAAATATTCAGTGTTCATCATGTGTGAGACCTTGGGTCCCATCTCTAGTAATACACGCACACGCACACACACACACACACACACACACACACACACACACGGGGGAGGGAGAGAGATGGGTGGGAGGGGGAGCACTTCCTGTGTAAGGTTTGCTTCTCCTCTGAACAGACTGTCTATTATCAGATTGTTTGTGTATTAGTTGAGTATTTTTCTATTCCAACCTTTTTGAATTGTGGCATGTCTTATCAGCCAGCACCCTCCATGTCTGACGCAGGGTAGGGTGTCTCTGTGGCACACACTGAGTTGATCTGAGGAAGTAGCTCTGTGGCTTACAGCCTTCTTTGAGAACCTCTTTGTCCCTAAGGAGACTGGAAAGCCTTCATCACACCGCAGCTGTCACTTGCCTTCCCCCCCACCATAGTGGCTTACTTTGCTGTGGGTCTCATGCCCCTATGCTCAGAAGACAAGAATTTCTTCCTGGCCTCTATTGGTGAGGACAGTTTAGTCCACTGACCATGACCATGGCCTCCCCTTCTCAGTCAATACTTTAGGAATGAGGAGGTGACCCAGTTCTGAGCCAATGACCGAGAAGGGAGGGTCACGTGCTTTGGGGCTCGGGGAAGTCACTTACTTCTAACAAGAGGCTCAAGGTCAGGCTGCACTATACCTCTATGGATCTCCTAGTTAGGACAAGGCATGGCAAGGGTGGGTCTGTCCCATGAGACAAGTAGCAGTGGGCTGGCTTTGGGGTCTGCTCTGTGATGTGGTGACAGCAGGCTTCCAGTAGTCACAGAAGGCGTCAGGTCCCCACAGAATGCACTTTGCCTGGCAGCATGGGTTATTCCTGAACCGGCTCAACTCATAGCTTTTTCCTAAGTAGGATTTTCTCTGTGCACTGATCTCACAGCGGGACAGGTAGAGAACTAAAGGTTATGAAGTTAAGGCATTCCTCAAAACCCGGAAGTGCCCTGTTCACCGAGATGCCCCCCCAGTGATCTGGACAATGGCACCCAGCTGACAGTGTGAGACAAGCAGAAGCTCTTTCAGAAACAAAATGAAGGAGGAATCCCAGTGTGAGCCTGTTAGGAGAAACCACAAAGTGGGCATAAGACCAGTAATCCATTTGTGGAGCCCCATGGGGCGGAGAGAAGACTGTCTTGGCAAAGTTCCCCAGATCGCTTTCAGTTCAGAGAAAACACTCTAAAAGTCTTTTAGAAGAAGCAGTGGAGTCCTAGGGAAGTGAAGTCTCAGGGAGGCAGTGGGTAGATCCTAAAATAGGACTTGGATGGGAAGGAAGTGAGGCCCTAGACATGCAAGTCTGACCCTGCAATACTAATGTACCCAGTGAAAAAATAGAGCAGCGCTCCCTGAGCACTTATGGAAGGCCCAGGAGTTCCACTTCCTTCCTTCCTTCCTTCCTTCCTTCCTTCCTTCCTTCCTTCCTTCCTTCCTTTCTTTTTTCTTTCTTACTAGTTCTTTTTTTTTTAATTTATAAAAGTTTCCCCTTCCGCCCCCCCCCCAACACCCCCCCACCCCCCCCCCCACTTCCTCTCCTCCTCCCTCTCCAGCCCTAAGCGCTGTCAGGATTTCCTGCCCTGTGGGAAGTTCAAGTTCCTCCCCCCTCCCTCCAGGTCTAGGAAGGTGAACATCCAAACGGACTAAGATCCCAAAAATCCAGTACATGCAGAGGAAACAAGGACTGAACGAGCACGTGATCAAACCGGATTCTCTGAATGGGGCCGGCATGGGGACTGTCTGAGATGCCATTGATAATGGCACTGGGACTTGTTTCCTCTGCATGTACTGGTTCTTTTTTTTTTAAATTGATTTTTATTGAGCTCTACATTCTTTCTCTGCTCCCCTCCCTGCCTCTCCCCTCCCCTCTTCAACCCTTCCCCAAGGTCCCCATGCTCCCAATTTACTCAGGAGATCTTGTCTTTTTCCTACTTTCTACTTCCCATGTAGATTAGATCTATGTAAATCTCTTTTAGAGTCCTCATTGTTGTCTAAGTTCTCTGGGATTGTGATTTGTGGGCTGGTTTTCTTTGCTTTATGTTTAAAAACCACCTATGAGTGAGTACATGTGATAATTGTCTTTCTGGGTCTGGGTTACATCACTCAAAATAATGTTTTCTAGCTCCATCCATTTTCTTGCAAAATTCAAGCTGTCATTATTTTTTTCTGCTGTGTAGTATTCCATTGTGTAAATGTACCACATTTTCCTTATCCATTCTTCAGTCGAGGGGCATTTAGGTTGTTTCCAGGTTCTGGCTATGACAAGCAATGCTGCTATGAACATATCTGTTCATATGTTCATATGAACAGATCTGTTCATATGAACAATGCTGAGGCACGATTGAACATTCTTTGGATATATATACCCCAAAATGGTATTACTGGGTCTTGAGGAAGGTTGTTTCTAAATTTTCTGAGAAATCGTCACACTGACATCCAAAGGGGCTGTACCAGCTTGCATTCTTGCAAAAAAGTCCAAATGGATCAAAGACCTCAACATAAAGTCATCCACACTGAACCTTATAGAAGAGAAAGTGGGAAGTACACTTGAATGCATTGGCACAGGAGACCACTTCCTAAATAGAACCCCAGCAGCACAGACACTGAGAGAAACAATTAATAAATGGGACCTCCTGAAACTTAAAAGTTTCTATAAAGCAAAGGACACAGTCAATAAGATAAAACGACAGCCTACAGAATGGGAAAAGATCTTCACTAACCCCACATCAGACAGAGGTCTGATCTCTAAAATATACAAAGAACTCAAGAAATTGGTCATCAAAAACAAAACAAAACAAACAATCCAATAAAAAAAAATGGAGTACGGACCTAAACAGAGAACTCTCAACAGAGGAATCTAAAATGGCCGAAAGACACTTAAAGAAATGTTCAACATCCTTAAGTCATCAGAGAAATGCAAATCGAAACAACTTTGAGATTCCATCTTACACCTGTAAGAATGGCCAAGATCAAAAACACTGATGACAACTTATGCTGGAGAGGTTGTGGGGAAAAGGGAACACTTCTGCATTGCTGGTGGGAGTTTCACTTTCAATAGGTCAGTGAGAAGCAGAGGAGGGAAGGACAGAAGGAAGGCAGAGAACCTGAAGTAGAGAGGGATTCAGGAACCTGTGTGGAGCCTGAAAACGTCCTCAGGTGACAGAAAGTCTTCTTATAGCAGGAAGTCTTATAGAGTACACCAGGCAGGGACCTCATTGCCCAGGACAGTGGTGACAAGTGGATAAAAACAAAGCCCAAAGTCAAATTTGATTTTGTCCTATGGAGTGCAGTGAGTGGAAGGGGAAACGGGGAGCACCAAGCTCCCAGCAGAGAAATGTGCTCTAGTTCCAGATCAGAAGGGGGAGAACAAGCACTGGGAGGTGATGAACGGCCTGAAGCCCAAGAGCGCTGGGGTAGGGGTGTGTGGATGGTTCACATTCCCCCATCAGAGGAAGAAATCTGGGCTTCTAAGTGACTATTTCCTGAACCCAGGGGAACGCTGTGAGGGGGACTTCCAGTAGGCACTTTTTCAGGGCCCTTGGAATACTCCAAGGAAGAGACCTAGGGATGTCTGTCTTAACTAACTCCTCTTCTGACCTGCAATGGTGCCCAGATGCCAGGCCACAAAGAAGTGGTGTGGGGAAGTTGAGGGGTGGATACAGATTTAAAGTCACCCTAGTGTTGAAATCTAAACATTTAGCAAACAGCTGTTCTGCCTCCAGGGCTTGTGAGAGCAGCTGTGGGGTTGATGTTCATAGCGAGGGCTGACGCTTGCTCAACACACCTGTATTCCTGAGTCAGTGCTGTGCACATACACAGCCCCGATCTTACTCTCAGGTCCACCTAGGTGAACGGATTCAATATCACAAAGGAAAGAAACGAGGGGCCAGTGGGTCGGGTCCAGCCTCTAGCTCAGACCCTCTGCTGCTCTCTCAGGTTTTGATTTATAGACGCTTTCATCAGGAAGCTGCCCTGCGAGAGAGACTCTTCCAGGAACTGTGGAGATGATTTAG